ATGCTCGAACTAGTCTTTTTAAACCTTGGTTCTATTTTAGTAGAATATACAAACAAATTAGACTTCTAACATATAGGGATTCACTCAAAATATAAGAAAATGAAATAACTAAATGATTATATTACGGTAATACAATATTAAGGTATATTAGTGTATTACGGTAAGCCTTTGCGGCACTGGGTAACGATGATGATGAGTGTATTACGGTATTACGTATTCATATAATACTCATGTTGCCATCTTTTCTATTGCAAGAAGACAAGGTAATGAAATCTTGAAGTTACGAAACAACTGTCTCGGCCCTCTTTAGTCTTCACGTTCACTTAGCCGATTAGGTTCTTTATACTGATTTATTATTTGACATATTATAACTTATAAGTGGGCCCTGGGTATGGGTTTTGAGCTAGTTTTACTAGTTTACAAGTGTAAATTAATTGGGCTCAACTTGGACTTGCTTTGTTAAAAATTCAAAACAGATTTAAATACATGTCAGTTCGATGCAAACTGACCCCGTAAATATGTAAACCCGAAATTTAACCGGGTATTTGTTGGGTCCTGATTTTTTTGGGTTCAGTTTTCCCTCCTGCGGTTTGATTTTTTCGGTTCGGTTTCGGGTTTTCGGCTTAAAGTGCCAGCCCTAGGGAGGACTGAGTCTGAGCATGTACACCTTTTTTCAACCGAGGGTGACCCCATGTGGCAGGGTTCAAACCCCTACCCTGCAGTTCAAAGCATGGGAGATTTGACCCTCTTTCCTCTTTGTTCTCCAATTGAGCTACGCTCGGGGTCATGCCAGCACTTTCTTTTACATGTGTGCCTAAGGCTGAGCATATTTGGGTTATCAACTTCAGTTTTATTATTGTATGATGATTCATATATGTTAATATCTGAACTTAGGCTGAGCATCCATTATTACGATGTTGATTTACAGACCTTCATTGCTTGTAACTATAATGCAGTGCGAGATTTTTTTTAGTTCTTATTTCATTAATTTCCCTTTCTCATTGGTGGTGACTTGCAGCTGCAATCTTATAAAGTTGAGGACATTAAACAAGATTATGATACAGGAAAAGGTGGTGTCACCATGGTCACTTTCAAAGTGGATTTTGACCGCATGCAAAGTTTAGAAGAAGCTATCAGTACTAATTGTAGTAGGGATATTGTGTTTTTCAAGAACTGAAGTCTTCTTGTGAGCTCACCCGCCAATGTAGATAAATGCACTGTATTTAGAAGAATCTATCAGAACTTTTTTTTTCCGGAACTATGCACTGTATTGAAATAAATACATGATTAATATCACTCTTTCATATTATTCAATCATGAGTTAGCATAAAGTCTCTTTTACAATTATTCAAAACTTAAATAGAACCTTTTTTAGTAATTGATGTAAAATACAAAAACGTCACCTTATTAATTCTAGTCATTGACTAGAAATATGAATCGTGGGGGTTAAAAGTTCTCATTCACAAACAGATTCTCTTTTTAAAAATGAGTTCTCAGTACAACCCCCTCCTATAATAATAAAAAGAATCAAGACTCACACAAACACTTGCATACATATATAAGATAATAAGAATAATACTTGTGCGAATATGCGAACAATGCACGAAGTGTCCACACGTTTTGAAGTTCATGAGGTATACATTTTGGTTTCGGAAAACTCGAAAAGATACAATTCTCAAAGTGAAAATTGTCCATTACTCAAAAGAGACATATGCATCACCATGAATAAGAAAATATGGTGACATTTTTGTAAATAATTGATATCACGAAGTGTGCATTATCACAAATAAAAGTGTGCACTATCATGAAAAAGTATGCACCTTTTTGTATCATTTTCATATTCTCCCCGGAACGAGGACCCTATATATAAGAACAAGTCAAAGCATAATGCATTTGTTCTGCTTGGAGAGATCAATATTTAATTCAACATGTATACAAGTATACCGCTTGTTCTAACGGGATGTAACATGAGCATTGTTGATACATCTTTTATTCAAATGAATATGGTAATGAATGAAAATGAGCAGAAAATTGTTCTAAGTGAAATGACCATTCTTTAATTATGAAATGAGAACATTTTAAACAAAATTACCAAAACACCAAGATATAAAATGGGATCTGGAAGTCTAAATCAGTTTAAACTACTCATTAATGAGATGACATTTCACCTACATTGTGTGCGTTACATTTGTTTTTCCAGAGTAAATCCAGGGATACTAAAGACGACTTTGTTTGAGTTTGGTCTATCCCTTTATGAATGAAACTAATGTAATTTCTTCTGTATTTATTGTAATGGGAGAGCTGATATCATACTTCCCATTTCCCCAACTAAACTTAAAATGCCTACTCACTAAAGAGAGTAATAATCCAAGATGGGTAATAATTAATGATTTTTAATTAACTTAATTTGCATTCAAAGTAAATTTTGATGCTTAAAACTTGCAGGTCAAATAAATTAACTTAGTTAGTCATATGGTTTACCTCAGCATCATTTATTTCACCTGCTACCAAATTTACAGGTATTGACTTTCTTCTAATAAATTAACTATGTATTGTTGAAGGGTGTCATTATATTTCTTCCTCCCTGACTATAAATTGTGGCTTGCTTGATAAAAAATCATATGCTTCAAATCTGCATATACCTCCTTGCGAGCTGTTAATCTTTATTGAGTATAATCTCAACCATTTTCGAAGGGGTTAGATGATGAAGGCCAACATGGCATTGGTTCTCCAAGCACTCTTGTGTTTATCTCTAATGTGTGCTTGTCCTTGTCCTGTCCTTGGGGTTCGAATACCGAAAAGTGAGTACATACGCCTAAGTCTGGTATACCAAGTCTTACTATTTTTACATTTCGTTATTTCGGGCAGGCCGTTAATGGCCTGTTTAGTTTAGTTATTCACCATATTGAAGTATTTGTTTGTGACACCAATTTGATATAAAATAATAAGCTGACATATAAAATCATGTGGTACTCCTCCCGCGTATATTAATTCATGAAAACCCAAGTCTTATTACTTTTGAGCCCCACACACTTGCACACACAATTGACCAGATAAAGCGGTTTTTCATGTTTGTTTGTTTTTGCAGCAGCGGAAAGTAACAGTGATGCATCAAAAGTTGAGGCAGTGGGCATCAACGACAGCAAACCTACAGATCTTGGCTTCTCGTGGGGCATGAACGGGGACACGACTCATGCGGGCACTGGTAAAAGCATCAGCTGGCTATATAAAGGGAGCCATGGTGTGGGATGGAACACAAGTAGCGGGGCATGCAAGATGGGCTGCTGTGTCCCCTTTGCAGGACACTGTAAATATTGCTGCCATAGCCTTGCAGAAGCCGAAGCTTACAAACAGATCATTAATTCAAAAAATGGAGCCAATTAAGCCCATAGCTTAATAAATCATTAGGGGCATGTTTGTTTAATTTCTAGCTCCATATGCATTTCCCATCATGAACCAAATTTGTGGTGGTTGAAGTAATTCTGTTAATTATGATGTTGGAAACTAAGTGATTTTCATACCAAATGTGGTAGCTTGCATGCTTAATAAACGACTATACATTTGGTTCTTTATGCATTTCAATTCCCTGCCAGCTAGTTCTTTATACCCCAAAACCATTACCATGGATCAAGCAATGCAACAAATATTGGTTGAGTTTATTTAGAACAAACAGTGAGCTCCATAAGGCCACAACACTCAAGAATTGAAACACTCAAGTATGATTACAAGGAGATTCGGGACAACTATAGTTTGTCTTGGTTTTGAAGCCCAAAACTAATATTGTTTGAGACTAGAGGGATTTATCCTAAATGTATAATCTTTGTATGTAGGTACTAGCAAGGCTAACGAAACATAATAGTCCACCGGACATCGAAACAAACTCAAGTCTTTTGAGTAGCTTTGCCACTCCTTTTTCATTTATTACATGTATAGAGACCAAAGTGATCGAGACAAAATAAATTAAAGTCGCTTTAACACTTCTGAGTCGACATTGCAAAGGAGTAAGAATCAACTTCCTTTGTAAATGACAAGGAAGGACGCCATTCATGGATCCTTCGGGATCAAATATTTGTCATGTCGCCATTCAAAGAGAAAGATTTGCTAAAAGGTTATAGAGACAATAGAGTAACATTAACTTGAGGAAAAATCCGCCAAAAAAAGTAAGTAAAATTCAAATCATTCAACCAGTAACAGGCTAGACTGATAAACATACTCAAACAGGCTTTAGGAAAAAGTCTGTTTCCTAAGTTTTGGGCTTTAGGAAAAAGTCTGTTTACTTGCTTTTGGACTGAAATTTGTTGGTCTGGTCTGGTCTGAACTGGTCTAGTCTGATAAACGTCTGGTGTCTGTGTATTTTATAACTACGGAAATCAAGTCTGATCTGGTCTGATGTGATCTGGTCTGGTCTGGTCTGGTCTGATCTGGTTTGGTCTGATCTGGTCTGGTCTGGTCTGGTCTGGTCTAGTCTGGTCTGGTCTGGTCTGGTTGAGACTGAAAACGGTCCAAAATAAAACACCCCCATTCCTCCACGGCCCCTGCGGCTGCTAAAACACATTTCAGCATCACACCACAATTACTAAATGATTCTCTGGCCATGAGTTTTTTCCACTTTTAGTCCTCCGACTATTATGTCATTGACACTTTTGTTACTCGACTTTGATTTTTTCCATTTTTAGTCCTTGTCTATTGCGCTAGAGACACTTTTGGTATCCATCTTTGAAAATTTTCATATTTAGTCCTTCAACTTTCATAAAAGTGACATTTTTGGTCCTTCAACTGTTATAACAATGACATTTTTAGTCCTCCATTTATTGTGTCGAAATCATAGTGAGATGACTAAAAGTGTCAATTTGACAATACTCAGGGATTAAATGTGGGAAATCTTAGAATCGGGGACTAAAAGTGTCTCTAGCACAATAGCAGAGGACTAAAAATGGAAAAATTAGAAGTCTAGTATCAAAAGTGTCATTGACATAATATTCGATAATATTCGGGGGGCCAAAAATGGCAAAAACTCTCTGGCCATTAACGATCAGTGATCTCTTCTCAACAAAAATGGTTGTAATTAGGGAGGTAGCATAACAGTGATGTTGTGCAACTTCATCAATTCTCTTCCGTCAAGCTCGCAATCTCCGACCTGGCGGAATTTACGCCGTCGAATTAGCTTCATTGCTGCTAATATCACTTCTCCTCTACCGTCTCCGCCGCCGCTCGCAAAGCTTCCTCGCCTCTCTCTCCTTGCTGACCAGTGTACATCTATGCACCAACTAAAGGAAATCCACGCCCAAATGATTATCACTGGCCGTATTCATGACAACTATGCCGCCAGCCGTTTATTTTCCTTTGCGGCTCTCTCTCACGCCGGCGACTTGACTTACGCGTTGGAAATTTTCCGAAGCATTCAGGAGCCCAACTCATTCATGTGGAACACCCTCATTAGAGCCCAAGCGAGTAGCTCAGAACCACATGAAGCCTTGTCTCTCTACGTATTGATGCGCAGGCTTGGCGTTACCCCAGGTAAACATACCTTCCCTTTTTTACTCAAAGCTTGCTCCAGCATGAAGGATTTATGCGCCACTCAACAGGTTCACATCCATGTGATCAAGTTCGGGTTGCATTTAGATTTGCATGCTGTTAATGGATTGATCCGTGCTTACTCTGTGTCTGCTGCTTTGAGCCATGCCCGCAAGCTGTTTGATGAGTTTCCTGAAAAACAAACAACAATATGGACAACGCTGATATGTGGGTATGCTCAAAATGATGACAGTTCTGGGGAAGCAGTTAAGTTGTTTGAACTAATGATTTCTACGGGGGTGGAACCCATTGCGGCCACTCTCGCATCTGTGCTATCTGCTTGTGCACAGACCGGTTGTTTGGAAATGGGGAAAGAAATTCATGTATACATGGTGGAGAAAGGGATAAGAGTGGGAGTGATCCTAGGTACAGCACTGGTAAATATGTATGCAAAGAATGGGGCAATAGTCCAAGCAACTAAGTGTTTCTTTAGTATGACAGAAAAGAACATTGCAACTTGGAATGCAATAATAAGTGGGTTGGGAGCTCATGGATATGTCAAAGAAGCAATTAACTTGTTTGAGAATTTACTAGTGGAAGAAAATTTGAAGCCAAATGATATAACATTAGTAGGGGTATTATCTGCCTGCTGCCATGCAGGATTGTTGGGTTATGGTCGTCGAGTTTTCAACTCCATGAAAGAACTGCATGGAATAGAGCCCAAGCTAGAACACTACAGCTGCATGGTTGACCTTCTTGGCCGATGTGGAAAGCTGATAGAAGCCGAACAGTTGATTAGAGGAATGGTTTGGAAGGCTGATGTGGTTATTTGGGGGTCCCTGTTGAGATCCTGTCAATGCCATGGGAATATAGAAATTGCAGAACGAGTGGTGAAGGAGATTCTGCTCTTGGATCCCAACAATCATGGCGTTTATGTTGGTTTATCCAATATGTATGCAGAGTCTGGACGATGGGAAGATGTTTTATGGACAAGGAAGGAAATGAAACATGTTAGTCTGAAGAAAACTTCTGGATGGAGCTATGTTAATAAGTAAAGCTACGTTATCTGAACCAATTTAGGGAATCTGCACTCTTAGCGTGGGACTATCCAGTATCTTCAGATATAAACTCATGACAAGTCATCAGATGTTAATATTTTATTTTGCTTTGAAAAGTCATGACAAGTCATCAGTGGTTTGCTTTGAAAAAACTCACAATCTTCCATCCAACAAAACCAATTGTGAGATCTTCTTGGCAACATTAGTAGGTCATTTGACGCCTTCAGCAGCACTAGAGAAGCTTCATCCATTCTGTCGGGCTTACTCAATGAGTGAGTCTTATCCCTTCATCACTTTAGCTTGAATACTTGATTTTACCCTGAATGATCCATAGCATTAGGAATGAATTGAAATGGCGACTAATTCATAAAAAGATGTTATGGCAGTGGCCATATTCCAGATTTCTGGTTCATCATACTCCCTCTGTCCAATTTTACCTGTCTTACTTTCCTTTTTGGGTTGTCCCAAAATAAGTGTCACATTTCCCTTTTTGGAAATAAATATGTGGTTCACAACATTTGACTTTACTAAACTCAAATTTCAATCACAACTTTTACTTTTTCAACCACTTTATTAAAAATTGTGCCAAAACCAAAGTAGACACATAAAATGGGATGGAGGTAGTAGGATACTTCTATATCTGCAAATTGCAAAACCTTAGCTTTTGAGAGTAATTGCCATCGGTAACTGAAACCCATCATTACCTCGGTCTGAGGTGTATCAAACATTGGAGTAGCATAAGAACTCTCATTGCAATTCATATTATGACGGCTCCATGTTATCAAATATTACTCAATATTGTGAACATGAATTGGGTAAGCGTTAAAATGATATAAAAAACGTATGCATGGTTTAAGAAAAAATTGAATTGTACAATATGCTTATTACCTTGTACTGTGGTGTCGTCTTATAATTTAAACTTTCACCTTTTAGGGCTTTCCATCAAGGAGGCTTTCATGACTACAAATGTTAATTGTTCTTTAAAGGAAGCTTCATTTTTTTTCTTTCAGTTTTTGCCTGAGTCCCGACTATATCAGGACATTGAAGGTGATGAAGCACTTGAGTTACAACCAATGCAAGAAGGGAGAATCTCTTCTTAACGATATGCTTTAAAACAGAAAAATGTCAGAACGATCTGGATCTTGTATTTCTGGGATAAAGAATGGTGTTGGAGCTCTTGGAAGGTACAAATTTGTCAATGTCAGAGTGTGATGATACAAGTAAGTTTTCTTTTCATGAATTACAGTGTTAGTTTTTGACATTATAAGTTTTTAAAAGAAGTTGCTTGAAGCATATTATTGGTGTTTTCATCATTGTGATTTAAACCTAGAACTTTACATCTTTTAAGTGCTTTTAGTGTTAGAATTTTTCTTTATATGGTCATCCTATTGAAGATAAGATGCGAGAGTGTCGATGCGGTGGTTTGGCCATGTGCTTAGAAGATCGAGTGATGTACCTGTTAGACGAGTTGAGAGGTGGGGAGAAGAGGTGGGGAGGAGAGGGAAAGGAAGAAAAGAGAAAGCTTAGGGAGGTAGCCATTTAAGGTAATTATGAAACCAACACGATAAAAATGTGATCGGACAAGCTATGTCCTTAAATGCCTAGATGGCAATTGTAGTTGGATGATGCATGCATCAAATATAAAGAACTCATCCAAGTTTGTGATTTGAAGATATAACAAGGTTCGCAACTATTCGGTTGGAAGTCGCAATAGAACATTGAGGCAAACAACATCAAGACTGGTAGAAGATACAATTTTGTCTCTTCTAAGTGTTCACAAGATATCATAACACCTAGAAGGCACTATGACACGACTCATGCAGAACAAGATCATGCCCATAACCTACGCAAAGGCTTGGTTAGGTTGAAAGCATGCTAGTGAAAAACTTTTTGGAGTGCCCAAGGACAGTTACAAGCTATTACCTTTATATTTGCACATCATGTTAAACAAGCATAGTGCTCATATAAGTGAGTAATTTTTTTTTAAATTAGTACCTACGTCTTGTGCATCCAACACAAGGTCCCTTTTCATGGATGTCAATTCACTCTTTGGGGGGAATCGTCTCCTCCACCACCACGTCACCCTTTGCAATAAGCTACAACATTTTAAATATTAAATAATTATTATTTATTATAATATCAATGATAAATGATAATTTTTTTTAAAAATAAACAAGTACAATACATACCTTCTCAAGAAGTTTTATAATTATATCATTTCTCTTTCTAATTCATCTCTCAATGAACCAAACTTCTTATCGATATATACTTTTATGCGGTATTCTAACTCACTATGATGAGTATGAGAGTGTTCTGAATTAGTAGACATGCTTTTTTGCGGAAGGCAACACCCAACGGGCATGACTAAAGGTTCAACTTCACCATGTGATGGAGACAAGAGAGTGTCTTTCAGTAGATGGGGCACACTATCTTCCAACATCCTAACATATCATCTATCGCACAATGAGGGTACTAATCAAACAATGGAAATGGTGATCCATTTCCAATGCCTCCGGGTCTCCTGGAACAAGAAAACTTTGTAATTCCATAATAAATGCGAATTAGTTTATACATTATATGTTGTCATATACTTACTTTAACAGAAAACGAAGTCTTATAAATCTCAACGTTTGTTGTTTTGTTTTTGCTAAACCACATCTTTCTTAAACAATCGTGTAGCACAAGATTGAATGCACTCATAGACAAGACTAAACAGATTTACATTAACATGGTTCCATATACTCCCTTCGTCCCACTATAATTGTCCCATTTTTCCTTTTCTGACTGTCCCACTAAAATTGTCTCATACCATATTTAGTAATATTTGTGTGGCTCAAATTGATTCTTACTTTATTCTCACTTTATTAACTCATTATCAACCACATAATTCCACTTTCTTAAAACCACATCACACCGTTCCATCCCAATATTAGGGGGACGAAGGTAGTAATACATAAATAAATATTCACAACTTATTTATCGGTAGAGCAAGTACGAACCACCATATGTGTGATTTAGAGGCACCTTGATCAAGTTGTGTCATCTTGTCACAAAGGTTCTTCTACATCACCTTAAGAAAATGCATGATAGCCCACATTCCCCAATGAAAAGCATCAAATTCTTCTTTATAGGCAGCGTATGCAAGCATCCAATATGAAAATTGTGATTTCCTATCTTCCTTAACATACAATGTCATGACTACGAACACTAACTACCTTATATCAATCACATTTTTATTTCCATGCTCACTTTTTCCTTTGTTGAGATTCTTACAAAGTTGTGTGAAGTTTTTTATGTTACTATGATAATTAACCACATCACAATTTTTTTTACAGATTATCTCTGGCCAGTGAGTATCAATAAATTTTTTCTAACTTTCTCCATCAATCTCTACTTTCTTCTTCCCAATTTAGATTGAGAAATGAGCACTACAAATCTGTGATGAGTGCAAACTCTAACAAAGAATATCTAATGGGTAATCCATTAACAAACAATCACATCTCTTTCTCTCTTTTTGTGGAAGACTCTCATCAGAAGTTGTCGCGTCATGCTTCATGAATGAACATAATCTTGATTGTCTAAATATGCTTCAAATATGGGTTTTCACAAAAACTCTAACACATTCAAATTATTGATTAAATCAGTCTTCATTCTGTCTTGAAAGGCTTCCAAGGAGGACTTCACATCTATTTTTCATTTTAGGAAAAACATAATCTTTGGAAACCATGATTTCTAGTTTAGGAACTTCCTAAATTTAATACATAAAATTGAAAAATCGTCATATTCAAATATTACAACATTGATATTCAATCAAGAGAAATACTTAATGACTAAAAGTCTAACTCCAAGTGAATTGATTGAAAATATATATAATTAGATTTAGTTAGGTTAATCATTTAGATTGACTAACAAACTATTTTTACAAATGGTTCTACCCTCATTAGGTTCCTTCAACCTTAAAGTAAATCTTCTATCCTAATACTTCAACAGTAGAAAAATTTCCTATCTATTCAACCTCTTATTTATCTCTACGACCAATATGTTCAATCTTTATGTATTTCGATTAGTATCAACGTTTAAGTAAACCTTCTATCCTAATATATCAATAATGAGTAGAAAAATTTTCTATCTATTCAACCTCTTTTTGATCTTTATGACCAATATATTCAATCTTTATGTATTTCGATTAGTATAATATGACCTAGATTTTAGACTAGTCATTTTCAGTTATTATTATTTTTCATAACAACTAGATTAACACATTGTATGAAGTTTCTCAACATGAGCATGTAGAAAGGAGGGGTTAAACTTACACATGACTTGATGGCTCTAAACCGTTTGCATATTGTTGTTTGTACTTGTTCTACTGATAAGGATGCCTCAGACGATACGATACCTTGTTCCACGCATTTGCATTTGCTTTTAGAAGATGAAGTTTAGCAAAAACAAAACAACCAATGTTGAGATTAATGAGTCTTTCTTTTCAATGACCATAAGTATATGAGAACATATAATGTATAAACTAGTTTGTGTTTATTAATGTTAAATTAATTATTTCATGAATCACAAAATATTTTTGTTTGAATGACGTGAAGTCACAAGCATAATGGTATCACCACTTTAATCGTTTGATTAGTACACTTCATTATGCGATAGACGATTATGTTAAGATGTTGAAAGAATGTGGGACCTCTATAAGTCTTAAAAAGTATGCCACGATAACAATAAGACTCACGCTGCTAAATTTCCTTGATAATTTCTTTTACATAGGAATTGAATGGTTTGGAACATTTTTTTATATAGAGGAGCGGACCAAAATTATGACTTCCCCGCGAGAAAGTGTACCCCGTGAAAGACAATCTCTTGTCTCCATTAGGGGTGGTTCGGTACGGTATACCTTATATTTTTTCTCATACATTTGCCGTACCAAAACTTTCGGTATGCAAAATTTGCATACCTTTACCTTACCGAAGTTTCGGTATACCGCATTTCGGTATACCGAAGTTTCGGTTCGGTAACGGTACGGTATCGGTAAATTACCGTGCATATCTCCCAATACAAAAAATTATCATAGACTAACGAAATATACTAAATCGTTATTACTGACGACATATTAAATCTATTATTAAAGTGTTACGAAGTACAATTAATAATCTATTGATGTCAATTCAATATTAAATAATAATTATTATTAATATATTTAAGCAGTTCAACATGCCACATATTAAAAAGTAAACATTCTCCTAAAATAACTTGAACAATATAGATATAATTAAATTGATCTCTAACAAGAATAAATAAAACTATTCAAACAACATGGTTATAAAATCATTTATTTCTAATATGATATTGTGTATTTAGTCATTTTTATAATATTTTAAAAATTGAATAAGACTTCCGGACAAAGTTGTGTGTTTCGACTCGCGGAATCCCTATATAGATACACTTATCACATAAGTGTATCTCTCTTCACTCGTCAGCTACTTAGCGGTCCAGCCATCACGACTTGCAAGCTCTTGGAACAAGATGGACTTGTTTCTTGACATTTGTACATTACTCATTAGTCATTAAGGTTAGCGAAGTAGAAGCCTATAAGGTTATAGTGAGTTTGAGAAATTGGGCCTTTATTTTTGTATTTTTGTATTTGTAACCAACTTAAGTATTAATTTTGGGCTTCAAAATTGTAATGGATTTTTACAATATATTAGAATTAAAAGTAATTGTTGAGTAGGGAGTCGGTACGGTATTATACCGGTATACCGCGGTATTTGAAAACATTTACCGTTACCGTACCGAAATAGATCGGTACGGTGTGATACTGTACCGAAAATGACGGTATACCAATATTTCGGTATTTTCCGGTATTTTTCGGTACGGTAAGTGCGGTATACCGATTTTTCGGTATTTTTGCCCACCCCTAGTCTCCATCACATGGCTGCCTAAGAGTTTCAGGCAGTGACAAACGACCCCATTAGCTATCAACATCAACAACGTTATCGGTAGGCCAAGACTCTTCTGCTTCTTTATAGTTCTACTTGCCAAAGTGACACTCACCCCATCAACATCGATCTTTCTCTATCTCTCTGAGAAAATATACTCGTATATAGAGATAAAAGAATTTTTGTTGGTGCACATCTTAGTCTGCCTTTTTAATCATACATTCTTGGAGCACTTTTTTCCACTTGGAATCCATTGCATCATTTGGGGTTTCTTTTGGTGTCAATTTTCAGTTTATTTTATCAAGAACAGCAAAAGCACTTGCGCTACTTTATTGACTTGAAATTCATACTTGTTTTGCTAACATAGGTGTGCCTTTTCATCAGGGGTGGAGACAGGGGAGGCTGGCGGGGTCTCGATCTTCCAAGAAAAATTTGTGATGTATATACAAACGGATAAATATTTGTAAGCAGTAAAATATATATTGAAATTTTAAGCTTTGCACCCCCAATATAAATTTCTTATGCCCTGCTCCCCTTAACCCGCCATTTCTGTCACCGCGATTGCTTGCCATTGATATTAAGGTACATTTACTCTATTGAAGATGTGACAGTGATGTTTTTGTTGATGTTTTTTATTATCAAAATTGTGATGTATTCTTTCTTTCTTTTCATAGGTATGATTTCAGTATGCAAGTATTTCTGGGTTTATCTATATATGGAATACAATTGTTGGAATTAAACATAGAGATTTCAAATTGAGTTTCTACATCTGTGGGTTTATGTGTTTGAATGCAACAATAAGAGCATGTGTTGGTTGTAAATTATAATTAATGCCAATTTGTCAAATACGTACACTTTTTTTGTACATATATGATTTGTAGGCGACATTGTGCACGTCCAACCACTTGAAAGTCACAACTGATCATATATTGTATACCAAAGTTGTATTTGATTATTTTTATTTTAATTATAGGTTTTCAAATAATAAATTTCTGGTAAAATAAATATTTTTGCGACGGTTTTTAAGTCTTAATTTGCATATTTGGTCTCAATTGATATTTTCATTGATGTAACAACATTCAATCAACATATTTATTCAATTGGTAATTTGATATTATCAATTTATCATTAGTAAGACGCCTGATAGGCCTGAATGGAAAATGGACGCAATTAATTTCAAATATTCCCGATTTTAATACTTCCTCCGTTCCTTTTTAATTGCAACAGTCAACATTTCACGTTTGTCAACGCACAAGTTTGATAACTAATATCTTTCATTCCATATTCGTAAAAAATTCATATTTTGAAAATTTAGAATGAGAAGAATTTAACAATATTTTTTTAAAAATTTAATTTATAATACATTAATCAATAAAATATAATCAAAGTAGAATACGTGAATAGTGCAAAAAGTTCAATGTTGCAATTAAAAGAGAACGGAGGTAGTATTATTATTTGGGACGACATTGCAGTCAGTTCATAGATATATTAGTATTCCTTGGAGGTGCTTTTACACCAAGGCCTTTAGGGATGATATGCTATCAAATTTTAACATATTTTTCCTTGTGTTACAGACCAAGTTTCATTTAGTTTATAAATAGATAGTTGTTCAAACTTGACTTGAAATTTGGGAGTGTCATATTATGTGAATATGTGATGCATAATGCATTCAGTTTAATTTTTTCAATTGAATATTGAGCATAGCTACCGAGTATAAACAAAATATTACTCCATCAATACTTAAATTATATAGGGACTATCAAACGAGCTCAAAGATTAGTTAAGATTAAAGTATAGAAGTAATTAGCTAAAAATAGGGACTACTAAACGACCTATTTGTACCAAAAGAGCTAATAAGTTTTACTAGTCGACTTTTTTATTAACATTGCGTTTTCGCGTTGAATTGTGTAATAATGAAAATAAGTAAGGTAGACGTTATTTTTCTAGCCAAATTGGTTGAAATTATTGTAGATGATATTTTTATTTGTTCTTATACTCCGTATAATTTTATCTTTTACCTCCGTCCCACTAACATTGAGACGGAAGCATGTGACACGGTTATTAAGAAAAGTGAGTTTATATGCTTGATATTGAATTGATAAAGTAAAAATGAAGTAAGAATGATTTAGAGCCACACAAACTTTACCAAATATGGTATGAGACAATCTTAGTGTAATTTCCTGAAAAGGTAAAATGAGAAAATCTTAGCGGGGCGGATGGAGTATTATTTAAAAATATTTTAAATATACTTTTTTCATAATTCAACAAATTAAATCAATTTAGCCGTTTTAGCCAAAATTTCTTCAATACTAATACATTCAGCTAATTTAAATGTCACTAAAAATGCTTTATATAATTTATTTTTGGATCCATAAATTATTCAAAGAATTAAACAAGACATATAAGTAAAATAATCTATATCAATTTAAGTCAACTAAACAAGACTATTAGTGGTAATGTAATATATTCAATGAATTTAGGAAGACATAATTCTCCGGAAGACTGTTTTAAAGGGGCGTCAAAAACTGTGGGGGCAAGGCGAGTCTAGGCTTCAAGCGGAGGGAAAATTCCTCGCATAGCAGAGAAAAAATGAAAAAGGCGGTGAATTTGAAAGTTGACTATCAAAGGCGTGAAAAAGAACAAGTCTATGCGCGAAAGGTTAAGCCTAAGCGTGCAAAGACATGTTTTTTTGGATAAACTATTTCTTACAAAGAAAAAGTTGATTAAACTCAAACAAACCACTTCTATAAACTGTTATATATAAACATAATAAGCAGGGGTGGATCTGACTTAGGGTCAAGGAGGGTCTGGGCCCACCCTAAAAAAAAGTAGGGGTAAATGTGATGTTCCCACCCAAAGTATGATAATTTAATGCACAAATAAAATTGGTTACCAAATAAAGCTCTAGCTTATAATCATGAAATCGAACTTGCCATATACGAGTATATAATATATGAATTGATATTTAATATTTAAGAACTCATACAATTATACAGGCATATAATGCACACGGATCATTAACAAATGCACATTACATATATAAAAGCACTGAACTATATGTATGTTAAGCATAATATCTCAGGCACAATTCAAATAAGAACTAAATAGTATTTATCACATAAGAACTTCATGCAATTTAAGCTAGTATACTGTATATAACACACAAGAATTGACTTCTAATGCATAATACGTATATGCGGTGCAATAAGGGTGTACCGCATAAAAATCAGTATCTAACACACAACAATCAATGTTTAATGTGCATGGATCGACATCTTACTCTTAGTCAGGATATAACACACAATAATTGGTATTTGATGCACAACGTATGAAAAATACATCACAATTTAGTGCACGAGTTAATCACACTAATTTGATGCACTAAATATGTAATATCTAACACACAAGAATTGACAGATATTATGTTGAAATACACCAGAATAAATATTTAATACACTAAATCATAATTTGATGCACGAGTTAATAATCATCCGTTGATGCATGTCGATGTAAATACATAAAAATAAATATTTAACGCACATCAACACATGAAATGAATATGTATTAATGGAAAGAAACAACAACAAAAATGTATTAGTTCCTTACAAAATAACTTATTTTATTCAATATAATATAATATAACTTCAAAAAGTCATGTTCCATCTAAAATTAAATACATAAGATGCTAAACTTAAATAGTGGTGGACGGTCAAACACATACCAAATTAACCTACCCATGCATGATTACTAAAATACCCAATAATATATGATTAAAATGGTATACGGATGTAGAGAGATGAATGACTAGGATTTGTTCTCATTTCTTACAATAGGAGGTATTCTCATTTGAACCAAAATCTATGTGTACACATGTGTGTAGTCCCGGTCGAGTTAGGAACTCCTGACCGGAATCGACGTGCGGAATTCACTATTTGGGGTGATTTCCGGTGGAATTTTTTTAGCATGTTTTTCATCAAGTCTAGTTTATGTCCACCGAATTTCAGCTTAAAATTCAATAAGGAAGTCAAACAAATATAAAATATAATATAATATAATAAAACAAACTCTTGGAAATTAGAGCTCTATGAATGAATTGATGACATGTGGCAACACCCTTCATAGGAAAAGTTGACATTGCATGTGGCAACACCATAATAAAGTCATCCTTTTAGATACATTTTGTCTACAATGTGTTTGCAACATTTATAGATATACACTTACAAACATGAGTGAAAACTATTCAGCTTCCAAAACTCCACCTAAAAGTCTTCCAATATATATACATGTAGATTTCTCCTACTACAATACCATGTTCGTTGTTTTAAAAAGCAAGTTTATTCTACATTTTTTTCGAGAACCACCCGTTCGGGTGTGGTAAATGTCGGGTAAAGATCAAATAACTAAAATACGTGTAGAGAGCTAAACCTAATACTCTGCGGAATAAAAACTAAAGACTTGAGAAGCATTGTGTGCCGTGGGTGTGGCCCATCTGACAGTAGGTTGCGAAAGAGTCCAATAATTTAGGGGAATATATCCGGTCGAAACCTAATAGGACAAGCCATTCGGATGTTTTTTCTTGATATCAAAGGTCAGGAGCGAGTTTATTCTATATTGTTCGCAATGTTTTGTATAGATTAAAGTTGCCAAGTTGGGTACACGTTTATACTCAATGAGTCAATGATAATTCAAAAATTGCAAATACTCAAAAGTAACAATTACTTCTTCCGCCCCACAAAACATTGTCATTTGGACCTTTTTTGATCAATAATAGTAATGATTGACCAATAATATTTTTACATACAAAATTATATGTAAATGTTATTTGCATTAATATAACTCATATGTTTGCAGCATTTATAAGCACTTATACACGTTATAATATTGAAGTTATATTTCTTTCATATATCCCATATGTTTGCAACATTTATAAACACTTATACACATTATAATATTGAAGTTTTATTAATATATCTCATATGTTTGCAGGAATTGCAGCATTTATAAGCACTTATACACTTATTAATTATATGTGTGTAGGTGTGTGTTATTTATAAGCATTTTTAATATTTCTTTCATAAAATTTTGAAATTATATTTTTCACACATATACAATAACGAAATTTATTGTCCATAATTTATTGGCGTTGATAAAGAAAAGTCAATTTGCCTATGTTTTGTGGGACGGATGGAGTAAATGGAGGTGGTTGATATATATAAGGCTAAAGGGTCAAATAGACCATTGTACCTTTCTCGGTTGCTCAATTCCTCCCTAAACTAAAGAAAAGCTCCAAGTGACACACTGAACTTGATAAAAGATTCGAAATTCATTTTTTGCAGGTTAGGATCCGGTTAAATAAGCCCCTGAACCCGAATCATTCAATTCACCCTCTTAACCCTGAAAATCATCAAAATTACGAAAAAATAGAAATAAATAATAAAAATAGAAAAGAAAATGATAAAAATAAGTCAAAAATATAAAATAAAAATATGAAATATTTATATATTTTTCGGTAAATGCAAAATAAAGAAATAAAATTTAAACTAAACAAAATAATTGTTCAACTTTATTTTCAAACCATATATTTTATTTTATTTTTAAAATGTAATAGTTAGGTTTACATACAACATGTGTGTGTGTGTGTGCACGCGCGTACGCTTGGCTCAACACACATATGATTGTATATATTAGCTTACCCGATATATTATAAAATACACATAATTAGTACGAAGTACTTCGTATATATAACACGTAAAAATAGTTTAACATAAATATATAATAAATAATATAAAAATAGTAGTTATATTTTAATTCTTATACACAGAGTAATTGGTTTAATTTTTATATTACTATTGAGGTTTAATCCCGCAAATCCAAAAGCCCAATACACGCTTTGGATATTAAGGATGTGAGTTATGGTTATAAGGTGTATAAAATATAA